AGTCAGAGCCATAACAACGTCTGAACCGTCGGCATTATGATCCGGTGATTGCGATTCGTAGAAAACATCTTTTAGTTTAGTTTCTATTTCACTCTCCCATCTATAGGCGTACAAATATTTTCGCTATTTGTCTTAAATTACGAGTACCATAAATGATTTTCAGTTCAGTCTTCAGCTGCACCTGTATTATTACATACGGCAAATCCGATTAAATTGTTGCGTTATTTTATTAATTATAAATCACTATTTAAGAATAACAACAGTACAATACTTTTATTATTAGTACTATAATGCATCTATCCACCTTGCAAAATGTGGATGACATCAACACAATTTTTTTTGCTATGAAACACTGGGGATCATCGAGAATTTTTCAAATTTTCTACCTTAAGGGACACTAAGGACCCCAAGGTTTTTTCAACTTTTTCAAAAACAACACATCAGAATGCCCTAAGATTCTTGAAACACTACGGTCCAATAAAATAATTTCAAAACTTTCAAGCTACAAGATGTCCAGAGAAGCTCAAGATGTTTTTAAATTCTCAAAAAAAGCAGGACACCAGAGTCCTCTAAAATTTTCAAAAATTATTTCAGAGACAGAAAACCAAAAGCGTCCAAGGTTTTCTGAAATTCTTCCAGAAACAAAACACCAACATCGCTCTCCCCAAACTGAAAGACTGCGGTCACTTATTTTTTAATACTCCAGGAAGCAAGAAATCCAAGAGATTACAATATGCTTCAAAATTTTTTCAAAGATAAAATACTAGAAACCGCCAAGAGGTTTCCAATTTTTTTTTTATAAACAAACAGGAGCTCTTAAAAATCTTTAGAATCCTTTCATAGATAGAATAGTGTAAGTTTCTTAGAATTTTTTCAAAACATTCAAGAATTCCCTAATATGCTCTTAAATTCTTTCAAAGACAAAACAAGAGCTCGCAAATTGTTGTCAAATTCTTCAAGAAACAAGACTCCAAGAACTCCCTTTATTTTAAATTTCTTTGATAACAATATTTTAAGGAAATATAAGCTTCTTTCTTAAATATATCGTTCAGTTTAGAATTTTCTTAAAAATTTGGAAGACACAATTTGTTAATTATTTATTTTCCCGGCGCCTCCACCATTTTTAGATAAAAATTTCAAGTTGTTCTAATCGTTCTAAAATCAAACATTATTGACCCAAATTTTCTCAGGAACACGAATTTGTACCTATTTTCATCATAGATCTTCAAATAGCCGAGAAAAAGTTACCCGTGTGAAATAATTTAAACTCGAACCAAAAGAAGTTTATTTAAATGGATTATCATGTGTGTCTATTTAGTTATTTTGTTTTGATATAAATATTTTTAAGAAAATATATGCTCCCTTTAAAAATATTTTATTTAATAAAGAGTTTGCTTACAGTTTCGAAGACACAATTTTTTATTTATATATTATCCCGGCACCTCCACCTCTTTTAGAGGAGAAATTCAGGTTGTTAAAAAAATGAAAGTTGATTGAGTCGACTCGAAGTAAGTTGATTTAACTGTAGCAAAATTTATCTTTATTTTATTATCTCGTTCAGACGTCAAGAGTTTTGGAACTGAATGTTTCGAAAATACAATCATTGTTTTGCTTATATATTATTATCCCGGCGCCTCCACCATTTTTAGAGTAAAAATGCAAGTTTAAATGGCTCGAAAGGAGTAATTATTACTTCAAATTGTCTCAAAAACAGGAATTTGTGCCTACTTTCGTCATGGATACCGAAATAATGGAGAGAAATGTACTCGTCTGAAAAAAGAATGAAAGTTGATGGAGTTGACTCGAAAGAAGTTAATTTAACTGGATAATAACATGTGTCTATTTTCTGATTTCGTTTAAATTTCAAGGTTTTAATATATAATTTTTTGTCGCTTTTTTGGTTTGGTTTATGTTTGCGTTTTTCTACGTTTTGTCACTTTTTCTGTAGTTTTTTCGTGGTCTTTCATATGTGCCTCTTATTTCCTGTTTTGATCTCCCTTTTTTGATGCTTTTTTCACTGCCGTCTTTAAGATTGTTTTCATTTTTTCTTTATTTGTCGTTTTTGGTTCTTTTTTTTTGGAATATTTTTTGTCCATTTTTGTTTTTATCACAGTTTTGTGGCCTTTTTGGTGTTTTTTAATCGCTTCTTTTTTATTCCCTTGTCTTAGCGATATTTTTCGGATTTTTGTTTTGTCACATTTTTTGTAGTTTTTATCATCTTTCTTTGTTTTTTTAGTCCCATTTTTGTTGCCTTTTTGTTTTTGTCGACTTTTCTTGTCTTTTTTGTCGCTTTTTTTTCTCATTTTTAACGAGAATATCTTTCGACCTTTTTTGCCTCATTTTTTTGTCGCATTTTTTGTGTACTTTTTTCACCTTTTTTAAATGTGATTTTGTTAGATCTTTTTGCAACCTTTTTTGAGACTTTTTTTGTCTCTTTTTTGTCCCATTTTTCGTGACATATTTTGTTCTGTCTTTCGTATTTTACACTTCCTTTCTTTTTACTAGCATTTTTGCTGTCTTTCTTTTATTGTTTTTTGTCCTTTCTATCCTTGCAAAAATATTGATAACGTCATCATTAAATTTTGTAATAGAAAAACTCACTTTACTTGAACATTACATACATATCTTTATTTTAACTTGATTTAATATAATGTACTTTAACGGCGAAATGATCGAAATAATCTTCGATCAATTTTTTTTCCATGCCCTCATATTAGTACTTTTCTCACTCTGCCTTTTTTTTTCATATTGTTTCCGTCCTTTAATCGGCACTTTTATATATTTATCCTCGATGTTGAACTACTATTTTATTTAGTCTTTCTTTATGTTGAATTAAGCTCCTTCCTTTTTTATAATGTTTTGGAATTCTAGCTAAAATAATTTTTTAATAATTGAATTAATTAATCATTTTCTTATTGTTTAGAATCATCATAACCATTTTAATCAATAATCACATTCATCTTTGTAGTTTCCGCCCTCGTAACCCTAGTCATTGCTACATGAACCTCAGAGTCGACATGAAACTCATGATCAGCATGAAACTCGTTGTTAGAAATTCCGTTTCGATTTATTTTGTTTTATTTATTAATCACTAAAGTAATTTCTGTTATAGTGATTAGGAAAAAAAATGCCTTAATTGAATTCTCCTGGATTGTTTTTTCTGGACTATACGAAGAAGCAGAATGCTTTGACGATCGTGTCATCTTGATTCAGGCTTCAGTTTCGGAGACCACTGAAGGAACAATAGAAGAACAATACTCTTCCAAAAACGCGAGGAAGTGGAGAGGCCACTTGTTAAGTAGTCAATCGCAACATTTTCAACTGTCATGCTCCCACACTCCTAAACCTAATCCTTGATTACACACTCCCTTCCAAATATCAGTGTAAAAATCTAAAACAGAAGCCTTAATCAGTCTTTTTACTTCCCAGGCAATGAAGACCTTTGGCTTTCCATCGGAATCGATTCCCCCAATTGTGTTATTTGGTGCCACAACCTAGGTAGGAACTCAAAGATTCGAAAGAAGTTGAAAACTCTCTCCAGCAGGCTAAGTAATTGGTCGATCAGCTGATTCCTGTAGACCAGCCAGTCTGTAGGCTGGCTAGGATAGCGTCAATAGCCTAAGGTGAGTTTTTGGTCGACCTCAAATTCATCCTTGATTTACTTCAAAGACATCTTGAAGAGTTGGCAATCCACTGGAAGGTTAAGGGATAACGTCTAATCAAGGATTCGTTAGAGGACGGAAGACACTACCCAAGGAACCTTCACTTAGAATCTCGTAGCAACGGGCAATGGAAGAAGCTTTTCCTAGGTCACAGGTTCTTTGAAGACTCAGCTTCGAGCAACAAGCATGCTCCCTTTTCATTCTATTGTTTGCTTTTATTTGTATGTATACTGTATATTAATCTTAGATCTCTTAAATAAGTAAGGGTACCTCTAAAATGTCTTGTAATTATATATCTATAAATAAACGTTCTTCTGGGGCTTCTCCTTCATTGTTTTTGTAACTACGAAACTTTATAGGTCCTACCTGCATGTCAAAAGCAGAACATAAGAAACGTAGTAAGTTAGCGGTAGCGAGCAATTGAAGAAGTTAAGTGAAAATAATTGATCGAAAGAGCTTGCAGCGAGTAGGGAAAAACAAATGACGTCATTATTGAGGATTAGTTCTCAAATGTGTTCAACGATTTTGAAAAAGAAAGCATTAACCAATGTTTGTATAGCGCTATTTTTTTTTTCAAATATTTGTTTAAAACTTACCAAATGATTTTATTCACGAAAAAAGTTGTCGCAATGTATAAAATTTATTAGTCGTTCTAATTTCAAGATATTTAAATATGTCAAAAAAGAGCATAAGCAAAAAGTTCATGTGGTGAATGGCTATTTTCATCTTTCTGTGTCGATTTTGTTAAAACAGATTTCAGTACTACCAGATCGATTCTTTTACTGTCTAGTCTAGACGGTAAAATAGTAGCCAAAATTTTTCTAATCATTCCTGCTAGCAATTTGATTAACATCTCCTCATCATTTTGTGTAGTAAAGGTTATCTAAATTTTATAAAATAACATAAGGCTGCACTTATAGTTTATGAACTTGCCTTAATTTTGTTTATCATTATTATAATTTATATTATTCAATATTTCTCGTCTGGTCTTTAAATATACTGTAACTCGTTTACCTATACTTTAGCAGTCGATATACATCTACTTTAAATTTATTAGAAGGATTATTTTTATTTTATAATTTTTCGAAGAAGCTAAACTTGTTGGACTGTAAGTCCTTCATGGGATATAAATGTGTAAATAACCGTGGACCAGTTTTTTGTACTAACAAAATCCCCTTATTTCTTTAATTACAAAATGCTAAGAAATACATATTGGCACCGTGATAACAATCAGTATTTAAATATATAGAATTTTAAATTGGTGCTATAATGTCGAAAACACCGCTTCTCTGTGATCGCGTCCGTCACTTATCCGACTTCCTTGATCGGCCTCCCAAGTTAGAGACCGTGCGCAGCTGATGACATGTCTGACATTTACCTCTCCTGTCAACCTCAAATTTTGTTTTTATTTATTAATTTCTAGTTCTAGGCATCCCACAAGCACCAACAATGCAATAAACCAAGTACCTTCTATCCACATTACGGCAACAACAAAAAAATAACCTGACAATACTCCAACTTTATTATAATGTGCGAAAATGGTGCTGAATATACTGACACAGTTGATCCCAGAGTACACATAGAATTAGAGCGCTTAAACAATGCAACCGACGACATCAATAAATTGGAAGTCGAACTAGACGAAGCCAGAGGTTCCTTCCGCCAATTATTATGTGATAGCACGGCCCGCGTGGACGCCCTCCGCGTGAAATTAGGAATGTGTGTTGAACGGGCAAAACCCTACTATGAAGCGAGATTTTGTGCGAACGAGGCACTGAAGCAAACGCAAGTAGCGGCTATGAAGTTTGAAAGGGCGAATAGCGCCCACAGTGCTGCAAGGGAGATGGTTTATTTAGCCGAACAAGGGTTAGGGGGGCGCACTTTGGGTAAAGTTGACTAAATCTGGCCTTCTTTTTTGTTAAGTTTTATTGTTGTCAGACCCTGCCTGGCAAGAAATGTTAAACCATGCAACCCAGAGAGTGAATGACGCTGAACGAGAAAGAGGTATTGCAGGGACAGAACATAGAATTGCTTGTATGAAGCATGAAGCAGCTAACGCTAAAGTACAAAGTTTACAAAAGGAACTAAAAAGGGCAATTGCTAAGAGCAGGTAGCCATAATTATAACACTAATCTTGTTTTATTTTTATTCACGTATTATTTTTGGTATTTTATTTTGCTTTATAGTTTATCCATTCGAAGATCCCTCATGACTTTCAGTAACCTTTTATCACAGCACGAATTAATGCTATTGTAAGTATTTGGTTACATTATTTTTCACTGGGCTTTTTAAATCAATTTATTTGTTGAAACCAAAATCACCACAGTTGTTAATAATGTTGCAACGTTTTTCCAATCATTCAAGGCCTTACTATGAAATGAAAGCTCATTTTAACCACCTCTTGGAGCAACAGAAGTCAAAGGTCCAACATTACGAGTCACAAGTGGCAACCGCGAAGTTAACGTATGCCGAGGCACTAAGAAACTTAGAACAAATATCAGATGAAATTCATCAAACTCGAAGAAAAGCTTCTTTGCTGCCCCCTCCTAACAAGCAGAGGAGCCAAGACTCGAATGAGTCTTTCCTAGATGATGCTCAAGAACTTGTAGATGAATATAAGAGTCTTCCTCCAGTCTTGGGGGCCTCTTCTAGTCCAATTATGTCGCGAATGGAAGAAGTGGAAGGGTACAGAAATGTGCGACTAAATGGGTCCCCGTCTCCTATTGAAAATCCGAGCGTTGCCCAAAGCCATTCCAGCGAGTGGACGGAAATTAATTTGGATTCTTCCAGTCCTGAAGACGACGTACCGTACAGGAAACTGGAAGGAGAGGATGGAGATAAGCCCAAATTAATTAAGCAGAAAACTTTGCCTAATACAAAGAGTGACAATGAATTCAGTTCAATTAAGAATAAGATGAAACTTGACACCAATATTTCCAACTGGATTTCGCGGTCTTCGGCGAAAAATGAAGAAAACTCATTAGGCTCAAGTAAGGGTAAATTGCTTTTCTGCAGAAGTGTTTATTTTTAATTTAATTAATTGATTAATTAATAATTTAAGCAGACGATAATGTGTCTGAGGTTGTGCTTATCAAAATTTTTATATTTATCCCTTCCAAAAAGTTAATGACGTAATCAAAAAAATTGGTAAATAACACTTAAACAGCTTTTTTGACTTGAATTTTTCAATAGTTCAATTTTTTTGTTTCTTCAGTTTTTCGATTTGCAATTTTTCGAGTTTTCAAGTTCAGTTTTTCACTTTTCCAGTTTCTAAATTATTCAATTTTTAAATTTTTAAATTTTCCAATTCGAGTTTTACAATTTTTTGTTCCTGTTTTTTATTTTATTTATTTTTTCGATTATTCGATTTTTCCATGTTTCGATTTTTTTTTTCTTTTTTCAATTTTAATTTTTTCAATTTCTCGTTTCCTCGGTTTTTCGATTTGCGGTTTTTCAATTTTTCTTGCTTCTTCAATTTTTATTGCACTTATTAGATTCAAAATTTTTCGAGCTTTCAATTTATCGATTCTGGAATTTTTCATTTCTTCAAATTTTCGATTTGCAATTTTTCGTTTATATTTTTATTTTCTTTACCTTTTTATATATTATTTTTCAATGTTTCAATCTTCCGATTTTTTCAATTTTAATTTTTTCGTTTCTTAGCTTTTCGATTGGCGATTTTTCAATCTGTCTTGTTTCTTCAATTTTAAATTTGCATTTTTCGATTTAAAATTTTTTGAGTTTTCAATTTAAAATTTTTTGATTCTTCAATTTTTCATTTCTTCAAATTTCGATTTGCAACTTTTCGTATCGGTATTGTTTTTATTTATTTCTACAGCTTTCCAATTCTTCAATGTTGCGATTTTATAATTCTTTTTTCAATTTTTCGTTTGTTCTATTTTTCGATTTGCAATTTTCGTTTTTCGATTTTTAAATGTTTCGTTTCTTCAATTTTTGATTTGCAATTTTTCTATTTTTCATTTTAAATGTGTAATAACCATTTTTAAAAATTTTCAGTTTTTCAATTTTACTATTTGACATTTTTTTTATTTCTTCAAATTTTCGATTTGCAATTTTCCGTTTCGGTTTTGTTTTTTTTTTATTTTTACAGCTTTTTAGTTCTTCAGTGTTCCGATTTTATAATTTGTTTTTCAATTTTTCTTTTATTCAATTTTTTTATTTGCAATTTTTTATGTTTTAGATTTTAAAATTTTTCTACTTTTCATTTTAAATATGTAATTAATAATTGCATTTATTAACGCCAATAAAGCTGTTACAGAGTAAAATAAAGACAAAAACTACAATAATAAATTAATAATCATTTAAAATTTTTTTTAATTTTTCCAGTTTACGATTTTACAATTTTTTTCATTTCTTCATATTTTCGATTTGCAATTTTCGTTTCTGTTTTTATTTTCTTTATCTTTTTATATATTATTTTTCGATCTTTCATATATAATTTTGTGTTTTTTTCAATTTCACTTTTTTCAATTTTTAATTTTTCAATTTTGTATGTCTTCACTGTTTTCGACTTGCCATTTTTCGTTTCGGTTTTTTATTTCCTTTTCGGTGTTTCGATGTTCTGATCGTATGTATATTTTGAATGTGAAAATTTTCAATTTTTGAATTTGCAATTTTTCGAATTTCAATTTTTCGATTTTTCAATTTTAGATTTTTCAGTTTCTCGATTTTTAAATTTTTCGTTTCCTCAACTTTGAATAATTATAATTTTTAAAATTTTTGACATTTTCAATTTTACGGTTTTAGAATTTTTCAGTTATTGGATTTTAAAACTTTTTCATATACTATTTGATTTTTCAATTTTTCGATCTTTACAATTTGACGATTATTATTTTTCGTTTGATTAATTATTTTTTTGTTTCTTCAGTTCTTCGATTTGCAATTTTAAGATTTTCCACTTTTTCGATTTTGCAATTTTTGGTTTTTTCAATTATACGATTTTCAAGTTTTCGATTGAAAGGATGGAAGATTTGCAAAATTGTAAAATTGAAAAACCAAAAAGTCTAAAATAAGAACAAAGTATTGTAAAATCGAGATGTTGAAAATTAAAGAAATCTGAAAATCCAAAAATGCAAAATTGAAAAACCTAAAAATTGGAAAATCGAGAAAATAAAATCAAAGAATGAAAATTTGAAAAATTGTGTTGAAAATTATAAAATCGAAAGAAACGTTGAAAAAATGAAAGGAAATGAAAAACGAAAACTTTTGTTATAAAATCGAGAAAATGAAAATTAAAAAATCAGGAAAATGAAAAAATTATAGTTGAAAAAAAGAAAAATTAGAAACCGAAATATTCAAAAATGAAAGAAAATGAAAAAACGAAAAATTGATAACAAAAAATTGGTCTAAGGTAAATCCAGATTTTTCGAAAAATTATAAGATTTAATTTTTCGAATTTTACTTTTTTGTGATAGCCCTTATAAGTTTCAGTGAATCATTCTTGATTTAATCAATACAATAAACATTCATTAATTTTTTGAAAACTACTATGTTGTATTTCGCCAAGTGAAAATATAGACAATTTTATAAAATCGGTTGACTTAAAATTTTCGGAATTTTGAATTGTTTGTCAAACAAATTAAAAATGGCGCAAATGTGAAAAAATGAAAGTTTAAATAAAAGGAACGAATTTTAAAAGAGATATTTACAATTGTGAAGAATCCACGTATTTGATACAAAAATACTGAAAATTAAACTTTGGATAGTTTTGAGTTAAAAATGATGAAACAACGTCGATTTTAAAAATTTTACTTGAAACAACTTCAAGGGTGTGAAGAAACGACAATTTTAAAGTTCTAAATATGAAAATGTAAAAAGTATACACAATTAAATCGGTTGACTTGAAATTTCCGGAAATTTGAATTATGTGTCAAACAAATTAAAAATGGCACGAATGTGAAAATGACAAAAAAACAAAGTTTAATAATCTAAACGGAATGCATTTTAAAATGTACTTGAAAAATTTTGCAGTTGTACATAATCCACGTACTTTATACAAAAATACTAGAAATTAAACGATTACAACTATTTTGGATACTTTTCTGTTAAAAATGAAATTTGGAAGTTCCGAAAAATTTCGGTTTTTAAAATTTTTAAAACGCTTGAAACAACTTCAGGAGTGTGGAAAAACAACAATTTTGAAAGTCCTAAATACGAAAATGTAAAGTTGAACTAAATACACTTTTTCTTAATTTTCGAAAACTTGATACAAAATTACTGATAAACGAATAATTTTGATTAACGATTTACCATGATTACGATAATCTTAAAACGTTTGCAAGATTTCAGAGCATTCGATTGTGTAATTTCAAAGTTTTCGTACTTTAAAGGTCATGAAACTTCGAGAAAACATGAAAGTGGCAAGTCGCCCGATGGACTCGATTACGCTCAGGAAGTAAAGATAGTTTTTATTGGTAGCCAATGATATATTTTTACTTATTTGTGTGATATTTAATATTTATGTGGTGGTAGTTTTAAATTACAGTATTTTTGGATACAAACATGGCGGGTGATTCCACGTAATCGATTTTCTTTTGCGTTATTAAATTAACTGAATCATAATTTTAACAAGGACAGCGTTGCATATCTAGGTTGTTTATAGGTCGGCGACAAAGTCTAGATAACCTTTTGGGTCCAACCGGCGAAAAAGTGAAAGAAATCTTTTCACATGGCATGATGATGTTAAACATCAGTTCTCTGACCGAGCGAAGAAACAGTGAACCAAAACCAGGCTTAACTGAAGATAAAACGAAAACTAGTGCCAAGAAAATCCCAAGTCCTTTGGAAAAAACCATAACATATCTCACGGCGGAAGAGGACAATTCAGACACTGAAAGTCTTTCCAGGTAGAATTTCCGAATACTCTTGCCAAACTAAAATCAGGATGGTTGCTTTTTTTGTAGTGTGGATATGCTAAACGAAGACCAAATAAGCTCACTAATGTTAGATAAGGAAATGGGCTTGGTATGTGAACAAGTTTTAGGAACTCCAATATCCGAAGTTGTTTCATTGCCGCAATGCGCTTCTTCTAGTCATCCAAGCAAATAGAATAAGTACAACCTCTTCTGAAAAATGAGTTTTATTTTAAAATGAGCTAAGTATGTAGACATATCAATGGAAGTTTAATCTAGTCATTATTGGTTGCATTTTCGATAAGCCGCACATGGACTGTAAAATGCAATAAGTCATACCTGCCTATAGCTGCTACTATACAATAAACTGACGCTTTTATCTGTGGTAGAACTAGTCGAGTTTAAAGCAATATTACAGAAGTTTAAGGTTGTTATCAAACGTTTTAACTGATAATAAATCATCAAGGTGAAAATGAGTGTATAATTTCTTCTTTCCCATATTATAGTGTATCTAATTTAGGCATGTTTCATTGTCTGCGAACCAAGTTATAGTTTTGTATGAATTTTTATTGACACGCTGTCCACGTGATAGTTATTTTAAATTAAGTAGAACAGTTCAAAACAAATACACATTAAACACTTGATCACGCAGGTCAGGGTTAAGCAACTACAGCAGAACAAGTTTTTATGTTAGTTTCATAGTTTTCTTTTTCACTGCTGGTTTTTTTACATTACAGTGGTTTTGGTAAAAGTGCATAAAAACCTATTACTATTAAAAATTCGGCAATAACCATAGAGAGTGGGAGAGCATATAATTATAACTGTTTAATTAAAATTAAATCCAATAATAACACCTTTAAAATTTTCACGTCATTCTTTTTATCGAAAACAACTAACAGCCAATAAATAAAACCTTGTAATACGACATAAAAACCACTGAAGCCTTGAAATCCAGCGACAACTGCAAGCGTCTACCCTACAGCCGACCTTGAAAATTTTACCCAGTGTAACATCTACTTTGTTTTTTTTTTATAGTGATATAATGGATTAGTCATTGGTTCACGTTGGCGGTTGCCTTTCCTCGTATTACTGCATCCCACATCTATGAATTCAGGTGGTAAGATGTGGTTTTATGCTTGACATGCGAAACCAAACAAACATAGGTCCAGAATTTGACTTACTTCTGGTTAGTGACTAGCAAATAAATCGCGATAAAATAATGGAAACACAAGAACATGAACACCTTATAATTTACGATTTATAATCCATAAACAACTGAAAGTCAGGAAACACGGTAAATAAAGTTATCTATGAAAACAAAATGTATTTATATGAGAAATCTAAAACCCAAATTACTTCAAAACTATAGGGACTTCGAGTGGTTCCTACAGGTAATTTGGGACATCACTGTGTCCTTTATTGTACCATTTATCGAAATTATCAACTAAATTCAAATGAACAGCGTTCAAGCTGGGTGAGTGATATTTATTTATTATGTAACTGGAATTTTGTTTTGCAGGTTTTTATTTCCGGTATACGGTGACGTAGAGTTATCATTTTTACATTAAAATGTAGAAAGATGTTTTATTAGTTGTCGTCAATCAAAAAATGTTGGGAATGGTGATTATCCAAGTTAACGTCGTGTAAATTACACACAGAATTATAGGGGTCCTAGAAATGACATTCCTACGAATCACAAATCAGTCATGATTAAATCATTGAAAAATAAAGTAGTAGTAGTAATTTATTAATTGGCTTACAGGCTTAATAATATTCCCATTAGGGGTACAAATTAACTTAATCTACATCAGATAAATCAATATCAATAAAAATAAATAAAATAAAATAAAATAAAAATTCCAGTGTTATATAATAAATATTCTATTCTTTCTGCTTGCCCACCCCTTGCCATAGTTCCCTTATCTTCCATACTTCTTTCATCCATCCAAAAATTATTCTCTTTCTCTTCATTTCCACACCTAAATCTCGCCATCATTCTTTTCTCCTTTATACTCTCTCTCTGTGTGTGTACTTTGGTACTTCATCCTTTACTATTTTTCTATAGTCTGCATTATATCTAGACTCCGATATTCTCGCTCTACGTTCTTGCTTATCTATATCCTTATCTCTTACACTCAGTTCTTCTTTCATACTCCTTCCCATTTCTCTCATTCTCTCTATTTCTTCACATGCGTATCCCTTTCCTTCATAATACTTGTCCCTTTCGTTCCAAACATGTTTTCCCCCTTCCTTTCTTATTTCTTTCCAACATTCTTGCAATATCTTGCAATCACCTCTCTCACTGAACGTCTCTTCAAATCCTGCTTCCACTCTCATTTTCTCCCTTTTTGTTTCTTCTCTCACTATATACCCCGGCTTATACTTTTCCAATCCCAATGTCCATTTCAAGTATTTTTCTTGCACTCTCTCTATTTCTTCATATTCCCTCCAGCCCCAAATCTCAGCTCCGTACATAAATACACTTTTGATCAAACTATCAAACATCATCATTCTTCTCTTATAATCATGTCCAAATTTTCTCTCCTATTCCCCATACTATTCCTATCACTTTGTTCGCTTTTTGGACCATTTCTTGAATATGCGCTCTATCTGAGTTATTGCTCATTAATGTATATCTTAAGTACTGGAATTCTTTCACCTGTTCAATGTTCTTCCCTCTCCATGCCCACTCTTCCTTCTCCTTTCTTACTTTCTTCCCAAACGCCACCATTTTTGTTTTTTCCACATTCACTTCCAATTCCTTTTTTTGTACGTACTTTTCGAAACTTTTAATCATTGTTTTCATTTCTTCTCTTTTCTTTGCCACAATCACATAATCATCTGTGTACGCCAAAGTCCCACACTTTCTCTTTGCTCCGTACCACTCCTCCTGTCTGTGCTTTTCTGAACAATTCATCTATATCTCCTAGATAAGCTGCAAACAATGCGGGGCTGAGTGGGCATCCTTGTCTCACTCCTCTATTTGTATAAAAACTCTCACTTTCTATTCCATTCACTCTCACCGTATTTACTGTTTCTTCATATATTTCTTCCATTTTCGTTACCAAGTATGCATCTACTCCCTTTCTCCTCAAATACTCCCACATTTTCTCTCTATTCACGCTATCAAACGCTGCTTTGAAATCTATGAAGAATGCGTACATTCGTCTACCCTCTTTCCTTATTTCTCTTCCCACTAAATGCCGCAGGATGTACTCATTGTCCATAGTGCCTCTTCCTTTCCTAAACCCTGCCTGACCGTCTGGTAATATACCCCTTGCTTCCATCTCCTTTCGTAACCTCTCATCGCGTATCATTGCATATATCTTGTACGCCGTATTGAGCAAGGTAATCCCTCGGTAGTTCTTCACATCACTTTTTTGCCCCTTTTTAAATAATGGGATTATTATACCTTCTCTCCACTGCCGAGGAAACCCTTTTCCGTTCCAAACTCCATTTACCACTTCCCATTTCTTTTCTTTCACTCCTTCTGTCCCGAACATCCATGCTTCGTTCTGGATTCCATCCCCTCCTGGTGCCTTTCCTCTTTTCAGTCTTTCAACTGTCTTCCTATTTCATCTTTTGTTATTTCCGAACCTCTCCACATTTCTTCTGTCGTTATGATTCCTTTATTTATTTTGCAGCATTTTTCCTCACAACCTCCCAATAATTCCATAAAGTGTGTTTTCCATTCATGTATTTTGATTTTCCCGTTGACTTCAGTCTTCCTTCTCCGTTCCTTGTTTATATATCTCCATACTTGCTGTTCTGTTTTCAGGAACTTTATTGTCTTTTCTTCTTCTTCTCGTTTTTCTCTTTTTCTTTCTTCCCATTTTCTCCTATAATTCTCTCTTGCTTTTAGGTACTCTTCTTTCCTTCCCTTGTTATTCTTCCATTTTCTTAATTTTTCCCTTGCTTTTCTCTTCAACTCACTACATTCTCCGTTCCATTCATTATTCCTCCCTTGTCATATGTATATCTTTCTTTTTTCCGTAGCTTCTACAATTAGGTTGCTCAGTTCCACCATCATAGCTTCTATATCTTCTTTTACTTCGAATTTCTTTTTTTCTAGTCTACTTCTGTATCTTTGAATTCCCTCTTCATCCCATATTATTTTTTCTAATTCTTTTCTTTCGTTTCTTCTCTCTTGTTTTTCGTACTCTTGCTCTTTTCCTTTGATTTTTATTTCTAGAGGCATGTGGTCTGATTCTACCCTTTCCCCCATTTTAAAACTCTCTATTTCTTCCCACGCCTCTTCGTTGACAATCCCATAATCTATAATTGATTCTCCCCTCGCCCCTACGTACGTCCATTCTCTTTCTTCATCTCCTTCCTTGTTTCCATTTAAAATTTCCCATCCCATTTCTTCTATTATCTGCCACAATATTTTCCCTTCTTTGTTATTTGCTTTATCTTTTGATCCTCTTTTCTCTCCCTTTTCTTTATCTATTATTCTTGTCCCCTTATCGCCCATTCTTGCGTTAAAATCCCCTCCTATAAGTATTTTTTCATCTCCTTTTTCTTTTGTTTCCTTTTCTATGTTTATCTTGGTTTCCTCCATTTTCTTGTTATCAACGGTTATTATTTCCCATCGATTGTTATCCAGCTGTATTACTTTCTTCATTAGTCCGTTTTTATTATAACTTCCCTTTTCCAATTCTTGCATTTTTTTTCGAATTCCCATTACTATTTCCCCGCTTGCTCTCCCCTTTTTCTTTTCCTTTGTCGCCCCTTGACACTCCCACACATATTCTTGTGGTAGTGTCTCTTCCAATTTGTCCCAGTTTTCTCTTTGTACCCAAGTCTCTACTAGCCCCACAACATCAAATTTTCCCACGTAGTCCCAGAACTCCTTTTCCTTTTTTCGCAACCCTTGGACATTCCAAAACAGTACCTTCACCCTTTTTTCTCCTAATTTTGTACCAGCTTCCCTTTTTCCGATTTCCCTATCTGCATCCTTTATTCCTTTTCCTTGTTTGTTTCCCTTTTCCTCGTTTTCTTCCTTCTCTTTTGGCTCTGTACTAAAAATTGAAAAACAAAGTATATTATACTAATAAAAAAAGTATTCTATTATTGTTATTCTTGAATCGTGATTTATAATCAATAAAATAACGAGACAATTTAATCTCGTCTGCCGTACAGAAGTGCGACTGAAGATCGAACTGAAAATCATTTATGGAACTCATAATTTAAGACAAATAGCGATAACACTTATCAACTTGTAGACGTGAGAGTGAAACAGAAACTAAACAAAAAAATGTTTTCTACGAATTGCAATAACCGGATCACAATGCCGACTGTCCAGACTTTTTTATTGCTCTGACTTCCGCTTATTGAATAAAACATTATGTTGAGTATTAATTATTTTGTAAAGCGACCTTCAATGGTGAAATCAGACTAGGCCATGTTAGGGTAGAATGTAAGAGCTATAAGTTAAGTTGGTACTGTCAGAACTGGCAAGAAGAGAAGGGGAAAAGAAGGGCTTGTGTCAAACGCCGTATTGTGCGACGTCCTTTTTTTTTCATTTCGACCGTCGAGCAGACAAAATGTTCGGTCTGATAGTGTTTATTAAATAACAAAAGGTATGCACAACTTATGTATTGTATTAATGTATGTTAAATGAAACCGAATGTATTCTTTTTGTAACGCCTATTTTAATTTTACAGGCGCTTTTTGTTATCCAAATAAATTCATTTCTTATCCAAAGTTAATAAATTAATAACAGGTTATGGGCCCAGTAGCTTGCTCTGTGTCTGATTTAACTTTGGTCTGTAATAAGAAATGAATGGATAAACCGTCTGAAAAGAAAGCAAGCATGTCGGATTGAGGAAGCACGTGGCAGCTGTAATGATATAAGAAAGTGAGGTTAGCGCATCGCGGATCACTGCACGCCAGCATCCCAGCCAATGAGCAATCAGCATTCGTCTGTGGAAAACTACAACAGTAGCGTCGGTTTACAACAAATTTCGTATGTAATTAGTAAGAAATTTTTTCTACTCCCACATAGTAATCCATGAATTACGAACTGTCTAGCCTTATAGTAAAACCATAGTTACACCCACTGGCATGTAATGAATGAACAGGCACGTAATATATATATATTACGTGCCTGTTTGGGTAGTTTCCATAGCAACTATAAATATTTGCTTTCCCAAAAAAATTTCTTCTGAAAGTGATTCTTTATTATAGATCGTAGAAAAAGTATATGACACAACTCTGGTGGTAAGCTAATTACGAACTCATATTACATCACTCGCTCGCTACGCTCGCTCGTGCATAAACTTCGTTCGTAATTAGCTTCTTACCACCCTCGATATGCAATATACTATTTTTTATTCTTATGTCTGTTCGTCAGTGTAACAAATTCTTTGTCTGATAAATATTACCAAGTCTGATGTAATGCAGGAGAATTTATGTTTTTATGTCTGTTGGTCTGTTAGTTTGTGAAACATAATCTCTGTCAGTTATTTCACAATAATTTTGTACATGTGTGTCGTCGCAAGTCAGCTAAATATTTTGCAAGTGAATTTAATCCTTGTGTATGTCAGATAAATACTTCGTCAGTGAGGTTAACTTTTGTTTATCAACTTTAAATATTGTACAAGTTAGTTTAGTACTGGTAAATTAAAAAAAAAAATGGATACGGTCAGAACACAGTTGGAAACTCTGTCAGAAAATGCGCAAGGTAAAGTTAATTACATTTCCTGGAGATTCAAGTTAGATTTAACTCTGAAATCCAAAGACTTGTATGCGGTAGCAATCGGAACTGATACCAAGCCTTCAGGCGCCGACACTGATGCCGCAGTCAAACTTTGGACTAAAAAAGATCTTGAATGTCAAGTTTTAGTTGGTTTAAATGTAAGTAGTGAAATCTCCAAGAAAATTGTTAATTGCAAATCAGCGTACAAAATGTTAGAAAAATTAGAAATGTTGTACGGCAAGAAGTCTGATTTAACTATAGAAGGTCTGCAAAGACGATTTTTCAGTTACAAGTATGACAATGGTAAGTCAGCTGTCGAGAACTGTTTAGCAATAATGCAGTTGGCTGAAGAATTGAGTGCTGAAGGTGAAGAGGTTAAAGAAAATTGGGTTCAGACAAGAATCTTGGGAATGTTGCCACCAAAACTGTGTCATTTTCGCACTGCGTGGGACAATGTCAGTTCATGTGACAAGAATTTAACTACCTTAATTGACCGTCTGAGACTAGAAGAAGACAGGCTACATGAAACAGATAAATCGAAAGGCCACAATGCCTTTTTCACCAAACAGTCAGGGAATAAAAATGGTAAGCCAAAACAGCAGGAAAATTCGTCGAATCTGTGTTTTAAATGTGGACAACCTGGACACTTCAAGAAAGATTGTAAGAACAAACCCTGTGCCAAATACATCGAATATTGCAAAAATAATTATTCGTGTAACATATGTCATGAGAAGGGACATTTTGCAAAAGAATGTTCAAAAAGACCGAATGATAAAAACTCAAACGATAAGTCGGACAAAAATAATTCTGATAAGTCAAAACGACGGGCATTTATTACTATTGGTCTGACGACTGCAGAAATCAACAATAGAAATGCTAAAAATGAAAGCTACAATTCGTGGTACCAAGACTGTGGAGCCACGCAACATATGACCTTTCGAAAGGACTGGCTAATCAATTTCACTGAATTTAAAGAACCAACAAAGATACTTATCGGAAATTCCACGCAAATTGAAGGTATAGGTGCCGGAGATGTCGAAATGGAAGCATTCAATGGAACTGAATGGTATCCAGTGGTGCTGACTGACGTACTGTTTGTTCCGAACTTAAGTTTCAATTTATTTTCAGTTGCTCAAATGTTAGATAAAGGTTTTATACAATGCGCAAATGCCGAACAATCTGTTTACAAATTAGCAGACGGAAATGAGACAGTAGCAATAGCTGAACGCGAGGACAAACTATACACAATGCTATTTCGAAATGAAAAAGTCAACAAATGTCTGATGACAACTTCAATCAAAGCATGGCATGAAAAATTGGCCCACCAAAATATCAAGTATGTTCGTGACATATTGAAGAAGAGCGGTGTTAAGTATATCGATGACTGGAATGATTACGTCTGTCCTGGCTGTGTCTATGGAAAACAACATCGCGTCTCACATCCGAGGAACGAGAAGGTATCGACGAGTACACTAGAACTAATTCATGTAGATCTCTGTGAGATGAATATTCCATCTTTGGGAGGAGCCAAGTACTTTCTGTTATTGAAAGATGACTTTTCGCATTTTAGAACAGTTTACTTTTTAAAACACAAAGATGAAGCAGCGAGTAAGTTGGATATTTTTATGAAAATGGTTGAAAATCAATTTGGAAGGAAAGTCAAATGCCTCAGGTCGGACAATGGAAAAGAAGTCATCAACTCAAATGTGAAAAATCTTCTGGAAGAACTTGGAGTTTTTCACAGCAAGTCGAATGCGTATACACCCCAACAGAATGGACGGATTGAAAGAGAAATGCGCACAGTAGTTGAAGCTGCAAGGTCAGTCATTCATGCCAAAGATCTTGACGAAAATCTATGGGCTGAAGCAATAAACTATTCGGTATTTACGATTAATCAAACCGGAACTAGCTCAGTGAAAGGAATGAGTCCTGCTGACTTATGGTTTGGACGACAAGTAAAATTACAGAGTCTGAAATGTTTTGGTTGCGAATGTTATGTATACATTCAAGATCACAAGCGAGGTAAAACTGAGAAGAAATCTCGGAAAGGAATTCTTGTGGGGTATGATTTGGACTCACCAAGTTACAGAATTTATTTGAAGGAGGAGGACGATATAGTCAGCTCTGAAAATGTTGTATTTGATGAGAACCCTGAAAATCAAAGGAGTTCCATCGAATTTCAAATGACTGATGAAAATGAAGAAAAAGACTTGGAAAGAAATCATGATACTTCATCCTCCGAAACCGCAAGTCAATCGTCAGAGTATGTAGATATATCAGATGATTCTGATTCATCTGGTGTGCTTATTCAACAAGAAAGTACACGCTCAAATCTGCGTAATCGAAGGAACTTGAAAAGGCCAGCCAGACTAGATGATTACATTACAGAGAATGACGAAAGGAATATGGATACTGCCATGATTGGGGAAGTTCAAGACATTCCTATCACAGAAGCGTTGAAGGACGAAAAGTGGGTGCAGGCCATAACGGAAGAATTTGAATCGCTTATGCAAATGAAAACATGGGATTTAGTGAAAATGCCAAGTCACATCACACCCTTGACCTGTCGCTGGGTGTTACGTGAAAAGCAAGATGGACGACTGAAAGCTAGACTGGTAGTGAGAGGTTTTGAACAGGAAAAGGGAATTGACTATTCCGAAACGTTCAGTCCAGTTGCACGACATGTGTCAATTCGACTAATCTTGAGTCTCGCAGCCTCAAATCGTATGAAACTTATAACATTTGATGTTAAGACAGCATTTTTGCATGGTGATTTGAGAGGAGAAATCTACATGTATCAACCCGAAGGATTCAACGATAAGACAGGACGAGTTTGCAAACTGAATAAAAGTCTGTATGGTCTGAAGCAAGCTCCGAAAAACTGGAATGATAAATTTTCGACGTTTTTGCAAACTTTAAACTTCGAAAGTACGGACGATGATCCCTGCATATACTATAATCAAAACAAGAGTATCATCATTGCTTTATTTGTAGATGATGGACTTGTTGTCGGAAAAGATGTACAAGAAATGTTGAAAGTGTTGAGTAAGATGAGCAAGAAGTTTGAAATCACATTTGATGACAGCTTGAAAGACAAAATATCATATCTGGGAATGGAGATCAAAGCGAATCAAAATGGAATCTTTGTAAGTCAACCGAAGTACACCGAGAGTATACTGGAACGTTTTAAATTCGACACTGTAAATTCAGCCTATACGCCAATGGAACGAGGAATGTTGACTGATGAGAAGAATTACGAAAATGATAAACCACTGTCGAAAGACAAACCATATCGTGAAGTGATCGGAAGCCTCCTGTATCTCGCAACAATATCACGTCCTGATATTAGCTTTGTTGTGAATTATCTCAGCAGATTCAACAACAATCCAATGGAAAGCAGTTGGAAGATGGTGAAACGAGTGTTTGCGTATTTGAAAGGAACCGTAAATTATGGAATCTGGTTCAATGGAGATACCGAGCTCATCGCCTACACCGATTCTGACTATGGTGGCGATGCACTCACCGGACACTCGACTAGCGGAGTCCTTGTGATGAGAGGCGGACCAATTGTCTGGTACGCGCAGAAACAACGACTGGTCGCAACATCTACGGCAGAAGCTGAATATCGAGCCGCTGTCTCAGCAATTGATGACGTCTGCTGGATTCGCAGGATTGGAAAAGAACTGGAAATTTTTACATCAGACAAACCAACAACGCTATGTGTCGACAATCAATCCGCTATTCACATGCTGAAGAACTCGTATGATGGAAAAATAACTAAAGGCAAGAAACACATTGAAATTCCTAGAAAATTCATCAAAGAGCACGTAGACAAGACAGTTAGACTGCAACATGTTAGAAGTTCTGATCAGCTGGCAGATATACTTACCAAAGCGTTATCTCGCAAAACTTTTGAAGATTTACGCTCTAAAATAATTAAGGAGGAGTGTTGAGTATTAATTATTTTGTAAAGCGACCTTCAATGGTGAAATCAGACTAGGCCATGTTAGGGTAGAATGTAAGAGCTATAAGTTAAGTTGGTACTGTCAGAACTGGCAAGAAGAGAAGGGGAAAAGAAGGGCTTGTGTCAAACGCCGTATTGTGCGACGTCCTTTTTTTTTCATTTCGACCGTCGAGCAGACAAAATGTTCGGTCTGATAGTGTTTATTAAATAACAAAAGGTATGCACAACTTATGTATTGTATTAATGTATGTTAAATGAAACCGAATGTATTCTTTTTGTAACGCCTATTTTAATTTTACAGGCGCTTTTTGTTATCCAAATAAATTCATTTCTTATCCAAAGTTAATAAATTAATAACACATTACATTTTGTTTTGATTTTCGATGTTGTAATTCACATTTGGTTAATAAATTAACTGATTTATTAATTTTTTTGAGACACCCTGTATAAGCAAATCTAAAAAATATGAATACAATGATGAATTACAAGTATAGACTGATCATATTTTGCACATTTTAGATAGGATTTATTGGGCAAAATTTTAAGATGACTTCATCAGCCTAAACAGCATGAGCAAATACATTTTGATCAAAAATTTATCATGCTTAACTTTAAAACATTTGCAATATTTCAAAGCAATTGGTTTTGAACATTCAAAATTAAATTGCAAAATGTTGTTTTAAATTTTAATTTGTTTTTTCAAAAATCTGGACGTTTCGGGAAAAACTCAATACGGAGTCATAAACTACTTCCATGTGTAAGACTATGTTATTTTATATAATTTAAAACGCATTAGACAAATTTTGGTTAGCGTTTTACCAGACAGACAGACGGAAAAGGGAGACCTATTTCTTCGTACTATAGGGATCATGAAACGTCGAGAAAACGTAAAAGAAGAGTCGACTAACGGACTGTATTACAATACTTCCTTCGCTCGGGAAGTAATAAATAAGTAAGTAAATTAAATAATTCTGTCTGGAACATCTATACTTCATTCAAGATTTTCTGTTTGGAAGATTTTGAATATCAAAGTTAGCGAACAGTGGATCATATGGAAAATTTTGAAAATGATACCAACCGTAGACATTAACAAACGCGCCAAACTTAAAAAACGACCCTAAATCTTATAAGACTAGAACCGTAGATGTTTATTTATAAATCCACACCGGTGTTCAGAAATCCTCTTAGAGGTGCGGTACAAAATAATGAATTCAGAAACCTTTACAAAATTACATATTATGGAAATCGACCTACAATTATTATCGCAAGCCTTTTCATTAATGACAACACAAGTACGTGATATTGATATTTATAAGTGTTTGGATACAAAAACGTGAATATATAGTATGAGATCACGGGTAAAACAAAGAGGTTTTGTGAATACATTAATTTTTATTTGAAATGCTAGTATATTCCATTTACGATCTTTCTGGATAAGGGGTGGCAGTTTTTTTTTAGTTTAAAAACGACTTTAAAAATGAAGTTTATGAATTCAATCATTCATTGTGACAAATGTAGAAACTGCATTGCCATAGTTAGATTTCTTTTATTGAATGGTCCGATAAACTTCGCTGTTAATAAATATTTAACCTTTACTAATTTGATGCTTTATTACTCTGTTTTAGATCATAGATACAATTTATTGGTAATGCTCGTAGGTACAATATATCCAAAGCATGAATAAAGAAAGCAAATAATTAAAATTTTTAGAGTTAGTGAGATTTGAAAACTTGCTTCTTCCAATTTAATTAATAATATCACCATAAATCTGAAGTCTTAAACATACCCAATTTATTTTTTTTGCATATTTTTTGAACCTCATTTTTGCTATAAGAGTCATAAATAGGTTGAAATTTAAAAATAAGGGACAGTAAATTTATTGGCTGAGCTTAATCTTTCAGTACAATTATTTGGAAACCAGCATTATTAAATGTTGATGTTAAGAAAGTATTTTTTAACTTTAAAGTCAAGCTCAGTTCACTATTTTCCATCCCCATGATTTCACTGGAAGAGTCTCATTCATTAGTCAGTGATACCAACTTCAAACAAAATGCATGACCCACTAGATATGAAACGTTAATGAAAATCCGTGCATAGTCTGGACCTGCCCCGGTGTAATATTCTTTATAAACATTTATTTAATAATTTGTTATTAAACTTTAAGACAAATTTGGTATATGTTTTATCACCTATATGATAATCTTAAAACACTCCTAAAATTTCACAGTAATCAATCCAGAATTTTAAACATTAAAATATATATACATATATGGATTAATATCCCATTTTTCATGTTTCGATAGACAGACGACTTAATTTTTCGAAAAAGTGTGATTCGAAAAAAAATAGAAAAGTGGGGAGTCCCCTAGATCCCATCGCCCCCTATTTGCCGCCGTCCCTGTTCGCTTCATAAATTCATGTTTATACCGTCACCGCGGCAGCACCTTTAACAACCTGTTTTCGAGGTGGGTGTTTTTTAGTTGCGCGTGAACCATGGCAGAGAAGCTGTATACTACATTGTTCAGTTAAGTTTAGTTCTTAGTGTACAATCAAGTAATAAACTCAACAAGTAAGTACAATAGACTTATTCCTATTAATAGACAGTCAGTGCTAATAATATTACAGTTACGATTTATTAAATTGATGGCTAGAGATTGGTGCGGGTGAATGTTCTTTTATGCGGATTTATTGTTCCTTGTTTCGTTTCGTTTAACCAATTTAAAAAAAAATGCGCAAAGGTGAAAACCTTGCAAGACTCTTTAAGGTGTCTGTTTTGACTTTCCAGCCGAGTTTTCAGTCACGTTTGATGCTTTGTTAAGAATAGAAAGGTTTCTTAGTATTCGCTCGAAGTTACTTCGCACAGAATTTTACATCGTTTCTGTGACCTACAAGCCGCAAGAAAATCACAAAATTAGTTTTTTGCGTGAGTAAATTTTTTCTTCAAATTAAGCCACTTTCACGCAGCCTACAGCAAGCGCCGACTGTGTACTACATAGAGAAAAATCTAATTCGAATTCAAAGCGAGCTGTCATTTCCATAACCATAACTCGTTTATGGGATTCTAAAGTTACAATGTAGCGTAGCAAAACATAAACAGTTCATATAATTTGCACTACTTTCACTTGACGTATTTAGAAAAATTCGTCACGTTTTGGATTTGTTTTGGCCAACTCCAGGACCAAAAAGTGTCGTACCAGTTGTGCTCTGGTACGGTAAGCACACACATTCCAGAATCGTGTCTAAATCGAGACAAAAGTTATTACAGTTCAGGACGGTAGCCTTGATCGTTCAATGACGATTCAAATATAAAAGAGGTTTTGCACGAGAAGAGGCGACGAGATTGTCTTTAGGCAAGGAAATTTTTATAAACGGCTAAATATTACGCAACTGAACTATACCTGCATGATTGGTTTTTCCGAGATATAATAATAGCTGCTTCAAGATTAAAAATCACAAAAAAACAGAACTGAATAAAACTAAATCTGCCAATGCCAGAAGAAAGTATTTCGATGCTATTAGAGCATGTAGACTTATGGTTAATTCAAGCGTAATTAATGTTGATTTTTTCTGTTTTCTATGTGATGGCCTTAATGAATATGTAACGATGGAGTCATTCTTAAAAATACCACATAAAATGTGTGGCAGCCTGTTTTTACTTTCTGGACGATTGTGAAGGGAAGTATTTTAGACGATTCATAGCTCATAGAAAACGAAAATGCAAGTTTCCTATTTTCGCCCCTCTCCGCCTGTTCAACTTCTGTCTGTCTGCCTGTCTACCAGTCTGCCAGTCCGTCTGTTAAAATGTACGTATATTAGGCAGATGATCTCAGAACGAACCAACCGACCTCTAAATTTTGTAATTTATTTCAGAGATTACAAAATGAACTTGTACAGAATGAACTTGCCATGTGTTTTTATTTTCTAGATATGTTTACGTGAGACACGTCAAAAAATGGGCGTGAGGATTGATTTATTTTGTTTATCATTTAATTTCTCCGAAATAACAAAATTTTTTATTACTAACAATTAATAAATTTATTCCTACCAAAATATCGATGACGTCATGTAAAGAAATACATGTTTATTGGACAAATGGATTGTATGAAAAGTTGTAGTCATGTAAAAATTACCTGAACTTAATAAAAAATAATAATTGTATACAGGTTGGAGGCATTCTTTAAATGAAAGCTAAACAAAGCATACCTTAATGATTCGTAAGTAAGGTATGCAGATAGTAATTTCAACTCGTTCTACATTATCTTTTCGAACATTATGTTCCATTAAGTAACGTTTTAACATGTCTAACTGCGTGAATAAGGAAGGGAAATCAGGATTCAGGATTACAAAAAAAAGTGTAAACGATGTGTCAACAATACTTGAATTAATAAAATTGAATAGAAACTCGCTGAAACAAGAGGTGTCATTTTCTTCTAGACTGCTTATACCTGTCGCTATGGACAAGGTTTGACATCGTAATACTTTTTTTCCTTAATTTCAGAATTTCTGGTTTAATATATCTAAATTTTTATCTAAGTGATCACTTTTTTTTATACCGGATGTCTGGAAAATGGCGGAGTAACTCTTCAATACGTTATGAACGGGGGTTTCGGGAGTCCTGCCTTGTGCATATAAGTAAGCTCGTACTGTTTCCAAATTTTGATCATTTTTTGTAAAAGTTAGTCATTGGTACTTGCTAAGATAAAACTGATTTTGGCTAATGAGATACTCTTTAAGGAAAGAGAGGGTGGGTGGGCGGGGCTAGTACCTGCTAATATAAGGCTGATTTTGGCAAATGACAATAATAATTTTATCAAATGATTACAAAAACAACACAACCATATCTTTATACATTCTAACTGAAATGGTAATTAAACATGGTCATGGGCGAGAGAAATATTAACAAAAAGTTTTATTATAAATTATAGTGATAATGAATGTGTTGTTTAGTTGTTAAACGTCGCAAAGGAACCAATTTTAAAATCGTTTTAACTCCACGAAAATGGGAGAAGGAATTTTTTTTTTACTATTTTTCCCAGACTCACCAGTTGATTGTGAAGAGCGTAGCGGAGAGTCAATGCGCCATTTTCCAGGCACCCGGTATATGTGCATAATTAGATTTAACTAATTATCTATGATTTCGAAGAAATTGACCTCCAAAGTTACGAAACCGCTAACCACAGGCGGTGGTCGGAGTTTATAATGCCGATAAAAGTAGGTAAAGATATTTGAAGGGTATTGTTCACCAATATAGGGCAGTAATGAATTCATTCGTTTCAAATTTATGGTTTCTTTAAATTCTTCCAATTTAGAGTCTATTAGGGTGATCAACAAATATTAAATTTTTAGAGTTAGTAAAATACGTTCTAAACGTATTGACTAAACTATGACAAAGTAACAAATTACACAATGAAGAATCTAAAAAAAGGAAACCCAAATACAGACATAATGAAACTGTTTCTAGATCTCAAGTTTCGTCTGAAATGAAGACAACTTTGATTTTTAAATTGTCTACCTTATTTCAGTTTTTCGGTTTCAGTGATTGCTTTCGCAGTACAGCAATATAGAATGCACAATAGGTTACATAAGAAAGTGTACAGCATGAAAATTCCTTCAACAATGTTGGGAACTCTGTTGCTATATCAGTTGACCGTCGTTAATGTTATAGTTGATTATTACAGCCATTGTTGCAAAACAGTTTTCAATTCGACCTTACTCTATTTCTTGTTATTATTATTTCCACCAAAAAATGTAACGACGTCATCGCAAAATGTTGCTAAGTAATTGATATATATTTAAATGTAAAAAATTATATGTACCTGTGTCCTTTTAAAAATCGTCCGGTATTTCAAGGTGCAGCATTTTTAAACGGAAACCAAGTTCATTGTGAAGACATTTAGTAGCAAATGAACCGTGCGCAGTCTTTATGTAATCGATTATGTGACTTCTCAATAGATAAGCACAAGAGATGCTATGGCATGTACCAGATAGTATATGTCTAAACGGAATTTATTTTCTGCGTTATCCTTTTATATGGCCACAGTTTATACCCGACAGTTTGCTCTCGCATGGAAACACGTCCCGTGCGGTCATGCCGGATCAGTTTGTAACCAAGCAGACTCGTACCTGACTTATTACTGGTCAATTGGATTCCGTGCCAATTTGTCGGTGGAAACTGTCTTCCTATGGGCTTTGAGTATCTGATTAGTCTATAATACGACTACCTCTCCCTTAATTTTTTTATGTGTAGTATAGTTATAAAGGAATATAGCTATACAGTTAATGTAGATAGTGGAAAAACTCTCTAATAATGCTAATAAAAGAACAACATATGAGGTTAACACTTATATAATGAATGATTACACATAGTGTTCATGGAGACTAAACATACAATTATTTTCCATGTATCTGTAGTATGGTATTCAAGTGACGCGATCATGTTCTAAACTGATCTAAAAAGTGTTACAAATAAATAGCACGGAAATATTTACTATATCTTTCTGTGCAAACTAGGGTTTTATTAGCTTTGTTCTGATGTAATAGTAAGTGAGATAAATGATAATTTATTATATAATAGTGTGCCCACATGTTTAGCAAACGATTTAATTGGGAATATATAATTGTCCAAAGTATATCTACTGTAGAAGTGACGCAGAAATTACGTTTTAAAATTTATTATAATCATTTCCTTAATATTGTTTGTCATTGCTCCACAATATAATTAATACAAATGGAAAACAATAATGCAGCTAAAATCCCTACACACATCCAAACTACTGTCCACCAAACAGTTGCCAAATTTCACCTGTTCTTTATTTTATATATTTCTTATTTAGAATTTACTATAAATTATTTATTACGCTTATGTAAGCACTGACATCGCATTTTTTGTTTTCATCACGCTCTCTTGAATAACTAACAACAAATGTATATAAGCAACAGGAACTGGGAACCTATGAATTATTACCTTGATATTAGAAATTGAAAATAAAAATTGAATTCGGGGCTGCATGTACATGAACTGACATTAACGTAGTTACGTTAAATAACTCAAGCTTTAATAATTGTCTTTAGTGCAATTTTCTTCACTCGTAAAGCGTAGAAACCTTTGTTCCTGTGTATTCAAGTAGTTTTCACGCCTCGTTTTATTATTGAGGATTAAACCGTTATGTCTACCATAATAAGTTTTGTATCTGCAGTAAGTTTTCAGTACTGGGTAAGTCAGTATTTAGATTTTCTGAGCGTCCGAGAAAAATAAACCAACCTAGTCCATTTTATTCGTTTTAAATTGTGTGTTCCTCCTCGTAATTAAACCTAAAGCCGAACTTACACAATTGAGTTAATTGGTTGTTTGTATGACGTCGTTTGCACAATATTCGCGGTTAAAATTTCTCTTCCTAAAAACGTGCGCTTTTTGCATTTTATATTTTTTAACCACAACTTCGCAGTGATTATCCTTTAAATAAAAAGCTGTAATTTCAGATTAATTGACTATGAAGATTTTAAACGGCATGACAATAAGTAGTTATTATTTTAACAACTGCTAGTAATTGCTGATAATTTTTATTGAAA